AATCCTTAACCAAAAACAAAACCAGCCCCACTCTTATTAATGCAGTTTTTTCTCCCTCAAACTTACTCTGAACTAAGCAGTGGTTTGCCCTCTGTCATTCTGAGATTTACATTATGAATAGCTGATCTGTCCCCCTGTCTTTGTTGACAAATATCATTATGGGCATTACATGTTTGCAGATGCGTGATTTGTTGACAAAATACCCTGCGTTTTGACCAATGTGATAGGGGTCAATGGTTTCATGTATTACAATAATCAGATGTGATTTAATAAATATATTTGTATAAATGCAAAGGATTTACTTGTTGTTTTTGATTCTTAGGGGTGCGAAAATAGAATCAGTGAAGGTGCCAATTTTTATGAGAACTATATGTACTTTCATTTGTTTGTTTAATCATTCGTTCACTCAGTTCTGTCTGGTGTCTTTCGCGGGTTGTCGGAGGGCAGATTGGGAAAACACCCAGAGCGCACCTCTGACACAGTGGGGACCTCGTAGTGGGCGTCGAGACAAACGGAGAAACAGAAAGCGGGCAGGAAAAAGAAACCTAACCAAGGGGCGTCCGATGAAGGACTCCGTTATTTGAGAATTGTTTTGTACTGAATATAGTCAATTTTTATCGTAAATAGTATCTTCTGGAAATCCAATCTGCGGTAACTTCTCAGTGATGATGGCTCTTACTGCTACTGCGCTAGAGACTGTAAAGGCTTGCATTTCCCGTCCCAGAGGTTTCCGCTACAGGAGAGCGTGAACGAACTGGGCCAGTGAGCCAGTGAGAACACTATCCACACCACCCAGCAAGACTTAGAAATATAACCTATGGACACTCATAGGCATATGAGTGCCCCCCCCCCCCCAACAGACAGCTAATGAAGTTCATAATGTTGGTGGCTGTAATCAGTGCAAAGAAGGCTGCAAGAATTCACCAGTACTACTACTACTACTACACTACTACTACTACTACACTACTACTCCTAATAATAATAATGTATATTATTGTTATTGTTCCTCTTATTTTTGTGGTTGTTCTTATTGTCATTATTATTTGTTTGTTTATTTGGTTGTGACCCTACCCAGCATGGATGGATGGATGGATCATATGACTCCAGGTATAGAAGATAGAATTTCATACACCACCAAGCCAGATTTTTTTGCCTGATGTCATTTTTTTTTTTTAAATTTTGCTTCATAATTATCATTTTTAATTCCTTCATTCTATCCTCACTGGGTTTGTCACATCCTACAGTATGTACTATAACACATTTTAATTAAACTGGATGTAATGGTGCCTTATAACTTATGTTCTCTCCTTGAAAGAGCAGTGATTACCTATTATTTCACATAATGCTACATTTCTGTGATTTTACTTCTTCCACTCTTATTCAAATATAAAAACATATGGGATTTGTGGGAATGGGGAAAACTAATTATGTTTATGAAGAATCCAACTGAGCATAAGTCACAAATTTTATCCTTTCAGAACCAGAAGGTGAATGTATACACACTCACACACACACACACACACACACACACACACATATTAAAAGCAGGTGTATCCTGACTTTTGACTGGTATTGTATATTTTATTTCCAGATGCTTTTATCCAAAGTGAGGTACAATTGATAAAACAATTGCAGGCTAAGGGCCTTGCTTAGGGGCCCAATGGTGACATCACATGGTTGATCATGGGATTTGAACCTACGCCCTGTCAATCTCAGGAACAGTGGCCTAACCCACACATCTGCTCCGCCAATGTAAAATGATACATTGTAGCTATGACTTCAATATGACCTCGCCGTAAAGGTCGGACGGGAGTGAAATCATGTGGTAGAGTAACGCTGTGCCAACTGGAAAGTCACGTACCAAACAAGCACACCTGAAAGTTTCAGGGACAGAACACGCCAGAGCATCAGTTAGGCCCAACAAACACAAAGTGGGCCGCAATCCACAGTATTCTTACGAAATGTAGCAGATGGGCCACTGACTGTTTTTTTTTCCTTCCTGTTTGTACCATACTGGTGTGTTTTTTTTTTTTTTAACGTCGGAAAAGGCGACTCGCGGGGCTCAGAGATGGCAGCGCTCCCATAAACTTCACACCCACCGGCAACCAAGTGGGGCGACAGAATCTTCCAGAAAACAAGAGACGCCTGCTCAGCTTGCTTGGGCACGCGACAGTGGCCGGGTCCTCTTCGCGATTACCGAGTAATGAAACTTAACTCTGGCTGGAAATACTTCTCTTTCCCAGCCATAATCTGCATGACCTTACATATTACTGAAGAAACACAATGACTTACACAACAATTCTTCACAAACAGGATTAACGAGCGTAGGTGGTAACTGTGTAAATTCACAAAAAAGAGAAACTTTCCATCCTAAAAAGAAAATGAAATAGGTTCCTTTTCTTACTGCCATTCCTGAAGGCATATGCGCTGGTGCATTAATTTTCTGTCCCCCCCCCCCCCCCCCAATCCCAGTGTGAATTGGAACACAGCGAATAGTGTGTTTGTGGATCATCCGAGCCCTTTGGCAGGCCGTGAAGGAAGACAGAATCATCTCCCTGCTCACTGATGCATTTAGGGGGCCGAGGTAGCTGGCAGATGACAGCAAAGTCACTCGAGACAAGATCCGTCGATCTAAGACACGTTCCGGTGTTGGGGGACCAGCTGAACGGGCTCCGACAATGAGCTCCGGTCTCCTTGGGATGCCTTTTCATCTCCTGCCTTGAAGCCAGCCTGCCAGACTTTTAAAAAATACTTTATATGATTCCAGCTTTTGCTGATATAACCTAAGGATATATCCATCAAGTCATCATTTTGATGTTAGGAGCATGAGGTCCCAAATGAGCGAACAGTCTATGGTAACGCTGCGGCGGAAACCTGAATATGCTTGTTAGTCGTAAATTTAGAAGGAGAATGATTTTACATTCTTCTTGGTCAGTGCTAAGGAGGGCCAAGACGCAAAGTATATCTCCGTTACGTGGGTCGTGATAGTTGCAACTGGTCCTCAGGATTATCAGCAGACCGACCCTGACAGACCATAGACTAAATGACACCTTAACTGATACTCTTGCTCCACCCTCTGTTCCATGCTGAAGGGGGTGTAGACCTCCCAAGGTGAAGCCGAAAGACTGTCAAGTGTCCTGGAATGTCCGAGCGGCCGTCTAGTGCTGGTGACTTCGAAGAGCGATTTTAAAGCCTAGTCGCCATTTTTAACATCGACTGCCTTAATCCTTGCCTGAACAAAAAACGTGTGTCTAGTTGCTTTATGCAGTATTACTTACAAAATGCAGCACTGTGTCAATCCATAAGCTGACAAAGGCAGCCGCCTAGGGCATCATCTTCTGATAGGGTGCTGAGCTGCCAGCCAATTGCACTTTGTGTCCGTCTGGAGATGCCAGCGGGGAAGCTTGTGTAAGGCACCAATATTGACAGGATGTATACAAAGACTTTCAGCTTTGAGTTTCAATTATAAAATTAAGAATTCCTTATAGTTGTATACATGTTTTTGAAAACTATGGTCATACTTATTTTAAATGTATGACAGTAGGTTAGACTGCACAAATGAATATATATGAATATAAAAGTTTTATAAAGAGAATGATGTGAATTTTTCATGCGGTAAATAATCATTGTAAATAAATTTCAGCTTATTGTAAATAATGCATGCATGTATACATGGGCATAAATTATTATAAATAAATTATTCATCAAAACCGATTAATATAACACCCCCCCCCCCCCCCGCCAATAATCATATCCCCCACAAAATAGGCGGAGACCTCAATCCCCAATGTTCAACCCAGTATCCCTGACCGGGATAAACGGCTGGAAGATGGATCGATATATATAAGGTTTGAATCGTCTGTAAACTGTTATTTGAAAAAGTACCCGTTTACATAGGCCTAATAAATACAGTCATCCTGACATAAATGTGTGCATTCAAAATGACAAAATACTGCCTTTGTCTTCCCTTACGTTCCTGAAGATATTGCATTTAAGCTTGTAAATTGTGTTGATTGTAGTATTTATAAAAATGTGATATTGGCAAGAGAGGTCTCTGCTGACGAAATATAGCTAGAAGATGTGTAGGAAAAAGCGACAATTGTGTGGAACGGTAACGGTGTCGCAAAGCTTGATACTAATGGAGAATTTACAGTGTGCTTTCAACTGGCGAAATTGTTTAATCAACCCGAGGTGAATTGAAAAGCATAAATTTTAGACAGCAAATTCTGCTGAGTGTGTCACTTAACTTTATATATGAAGCCATTTTCTCACACCTAGCAAAATTTCGTTATCGAGAATAGTTGTCATCTTTTTGAAATATGATCCTAACAAGGAGAAAAGTAACCAGTCCTAAGGACATTCTTCGGAAATAAAACGATATTTGTTGTTGGCCATTACGGTTTAATAAAATAAAATGTAAAATGTTGTTTCATAAAATGTCACAAGAAAAGATATGTCTGCTACCTGAACTATGAATGATTGTGTCTTTCACTTTAAGGTCACTACAAATAGCAGCGATGAATACTGTGGCAAACGACAGCGCGATGTCACAACGTTCAGAGTTAGGGCACCTAATTTAGCTTAATAAATGCATTCAGGCTGTTATCCACCAGTAAGAAGCAGCAACACTGACAGATCTGGAAACAGGCCTACATTGCTTCATAATTTACCGTTCAATACCCCAAAATATTTTAACTAGTTAAAACTTGAATTTACTTTGTAATTACAAAGTTGTAATTTCGCAATTCTGTGTGCATAATAATAATAATAATAATAATAATAATAACGGGTATGACCAAACAGTAGGTGAAAATCAACCTTTTTCATTATTTTAAAACAGATCTACCTACAATGTTACAAATGTTGCTTACTACTGCCACCTACTGATCACTGAATGAACCGCCTCTAACTCTTCCCCGCACATGCTGTCTTACCACCTCGATCTGCTCTAATACCTCATTTGTGCTCCACATGATGCACAAAGTGCTTATTTACTGACCACAGCTTCACCATTAGTGTGGGCTGATGGACTTTGAGATTAGGCTGTCGGCTCTGACGACACCCCCGACGTCGGCCTCGGTGTAGATGCAGGAAGCCTCTGTCAAGAGCTTGTGAGTAATCATGTTGAACAGCAGGTGGTTAAACAAAAGAAAACTGCCAAAAGAGAGGGGAAAAAAACAAAAAACCAAACCCTTGTACCGTTTTTAACCCTGAACTTTCAGATGATTCTTGGTCTCGGGTTGATATTTGTGCGTAATAATCGCTTTACATAGGTATTTTACTACGGTATGCATGCACACAATTGATTGAAGAAATGATACGTTATTTAACTTTGCTAGATTGTTCATTTGTGTCCCTGTGGCTGATCGCGTTTGCCGACGGAGCCTTCTCCGCTGCAGCATCCATTAGCCGTCCTGCTGGCGTTACTGGCCAGGATTAAGCATGTGGCTGGGTGGAGTTTGCTTCCTTGTTACAAAGCTGTCATTGATGGTCCGGACAGAGCGCCCTTTATTAAAACCCACCGGAGCGAAGCTTAGGCGCAGGACACTGCAAACTTACAGGAAGGATTAACTGTCACTTCATGCTTTTTTTCCCCCGATGTCACAGTTGACTTGTAACTTAGTAGCCTATAATAACAATAGTAAGAATAATTCGTTATACTGTCCATGCACGTGACTAGGATTATGCCTATGATTTGGCGATCAGGTCCGCAGTCTTATGCATTTCCAATCTAGTCCGATCCGCAAAACTCATAGTTCATTGGCAGATCACGAATTTTTACAACTTTTAAACAGTGAAAACCTGAAAACAAACCTGGACTTGAGGATCAGCAAGTCACCAGGCTGGGGCTGCCAAACCGGGACCTAAATGTGCTATTGATTATGGCAGGGGAGGTTTTCAGGAAATGCTCTGATCTTGCTTTTCCCAATGACCCCCTCCTCTCCCCGCCCGCGCGCCCAAAGCCAATGAACTATGACATCGAAGAAAGAAAGACAGAAAACGTTAGTCACGTGACAAGGGGCTCGTGTTCCGCAAGCAAAACCACAGGCAATATCACGGCTAAAGTTTGGGGTAATTTATAAGCAGTGAGAGCTTCATCTAGATTGGTCTGTAAGGTGTCAAGTGGTACGTTTCATTTCTGAATATGAGGGAGCATGGCGAGACTAAAGCACATTTTATGTTTTTTTGGAAAACATCCTTCCAGCTCTGTGATAAACGTAAAATAAATTATATTTTTAAAAAGATTACGTCTTCATAATTATATAATAATTAGAACAGTATGCAAGGATAATACGGCATGTATTGCAAAACAGAGGAATATAATTCATTTCAAGAGCAATGAAAATAGTACAAGAAATCTAAAATGTAAATACGGACAAGAGACATATTTTGGCTGTCAATGGCCAACAATTACTGTTCCACTGCTGCCCCCTAGTGTAATAAAGCAGCTGGTGCACGTCAGAACACCATCTCCCTGTAGTACTGTACTTATTTATACAGTACTTTATTCCTTACAGTATACTATAAATAAAAACCTAAGTTAGTGTAAGCTAAACTGTAGTATAAACTGAAATCAGTACAATAATTTTAAAATGCAAGACTATTTAAAATATGATTATTAAATTTTAAAATGATAAAACTGGTTCACCGCTATAAATGTCGTATTTGATCTGTGCAATGTCCATTAGGTTTTCATATAAAAACATATATGGAAGTACAATATTAAAAAGACTATGATAATATATTTCGTTATGAAGCTGAACACGTGGTTTCCCCGTTTCGGAATAATAGCATCATAACAAGAATGATGTAATTCACTGCGCAGAGTCCAAACGCTTTTTCTTAAATATATTTCTTTCTGACCCAAAGTGGTGCCCTGATCCTCACAGCTGCCCGGGGCGCGGATTGCGCCGCCACGCCTGCCCTTCAGCGCCAGCTCTCGTCCATTTCCTTGTTTACCCGGAAAGTGCTGCCTTTACCTCCCCAAATGCGCCGGGCTGCGTGCAATGGCTTTTATAAGGAAGAAAGAGCGTCCCAAAGAGAGGTAACGAAGCACGAGTGCCTGTCTGCCGTGCTGATCCCTAGCCCTGTCATATTTAAAAGTGATTCTTTTATTCAGTTTGTTTTTAATGATCGGTATTGTGATTGCATACATGCCGCACAGATGCTTCCTGATCGCGGTGCTCCGACTTCAGGCGACTTTTAACCGAGCCTCCTGGTTCCGGCGCGACGCTTTAGGCCGGCCAGCCTTCCTGTCATTATCGGCGCTTATGTAGATTGCGGACCTTTTTGATAAAACGCTGTTTTGTTTAGGATCGCAGGCAGAAACGCGCCGGTGTCATTGCCGATTGCTGCCGAAACACTTCGGTGATCTGGTTGGAGTTCATGCCCTTTGTGCACCATCAGATATCTTATGCGGGATTATTATTATTATTATTATTATTATTATTATTATTATTATTATTATGATTATTATTCTACTGTGGGCTGTAACTGAAGCATTTGTATTTTGTACTGTATATTTGGTGATTCAGTCTGGTGCTTTAAAATCGTTGTATTCGGTTCATTTCCCAGGGTTAATTGACTACTTGCCTGTCGGGAACGCAGTTGGTGAGGTTGCGAGTTAGATTCCGGTAACATGCTTTTAAGCCAAAAGACATTTCCCCCCCGTAGAGGCATCAATAAAATGACCACAGGAGACTCTTCCTGTTTCTACGGGCCCGGAAAATCGCGGTGAGGGGGTCGTTTGGAAAAGGCAGTTCAATGTGGGATGTTCATGAATTTTTAGTGTCCAAACAAAGGGGGCAGCGACGCATCGGAAGCCAGGGTCAGCTGTGTTTGCGTGCTGACCCGCTACACTAGATATTTAAGAGATGCTGAAGGAGCAGGTCCTGCTAACCAGCTACAATCATCTGACTCCACTGGCTGGCTGTTTATGTAGTTTCTGAAACATCTGGTGGGGGGGGGGTGGGGGGGGGTTCTTCTGAGTGGGGGCTGAGAATTGGCAAACCCACCTCTGACCCATGGTGGTAGGACTTTGATGGGCTGGTATTCATTGACCAGTTTAGCCACCTTTCATTGCCCTCCTTTCGGGTTAAATACCGCCCACCATGAAGTTTAAAGTATCTCTGTTTCCCGGTCACTATTCCTGTTATCAACCCTTTGATATTTATATCTAAGTGAGTTTCTTTGCCATGCATTTATATTTGGTTGAACCCCTATATTTGTGTGTATTTTGTGTATTATTATATGCATTCTATTTTTATACTTCCAACTTGTACATCTATAGTGTGTTGTTTCTCAGTGATGAGAGGGATTCCCCGTGGACTGGCCGTAGCCGTTTCTCAAACGCAGATTGTGAAGGAGCTGCAGATGGAGAAATTTCGAAGATCTGTTTTTCCCCTCATGTTAGGCCAGACTTTGGCAGCGTGAGGTTCAGCAGTTTAGACCTTGGTGCCTGTGATCTGAAAGTTGCCAGTTCAAACCCCATGATTGGCAGGGTAGCCACATCTCGGTTGGGCCCTCGAGCAAGGCCCGTACCCCCCCAAAAATCCTCTATGGCTGCTAGATAAATGGTTGACCTTGTGCTCTGACCCCAAGTGTAACTCTCAACTCTATTTGTGTATATCTTATAAAAGAAATGGTATATGCAAAAATGAACACATATCAATGAACCTGTTCTACTACTTGTACAAATGGTGAATAAGGCTTCACTTCATTTTGGAATTTTCCAGAGTCTGCTAACTTTTCATGGCTGTATTGAGTCTAAACCTGACTTTGTGGAGGTTTCAGCTGGCTACATATACTACACTAAATATACATATTTTACACTAAATATACAGTTAATAAAATTGTTTGTAAATAACAAGCATTATGTCTGCTGCTGTATTGTTGTTTGGTAACATTGACAAGTATGAACAGAAAATGAGACCCTGAGAGATGTAAACAATGTAACCATGTAGAGTTAGACTTTGCCAAGATATAAATCTCATTCTCGTTCATATGTTCAAAGTTAAGACATTCTGTCCAAAATCCCATGTCTGTCTTGGGATTCGGCCTGACTGCACTGAGCTGAGGCACAGTTATGTTGGCAAGTTGGCTTTTTGTGTGATTGTTTTTGTACTTTTGTGTATTGATGATTTCCTGATTCGCCTTCACTGTGTTTTTTCCTGTCTAGGTTTTCCCTATTGCTACTCGACCTAGAGGAGTATTATTTTGAGCAACACACGGCATACAATGTGATCAGTAACGGTACAAACCAGAAAAGGTACAAATCCGACAACAAAGCAAGCCAGCACCTTCATTTTTGACCAAAAGGGTCTAGTTAAGGTGCACTTCTTTAGCTATTAATGAAAGGGTTTGGCCTCTGTAAATGCTAGAAGAAGCACATAGACGGAGGGTCACATGTCCTGTATAGTCAGGGTTTCACAGTGCAGAGCATCCATTGCATTCCTTCCTGCTCCTTGTCACACCTGTAGCCTGGCACTCTAGTGACCCCTAGTGGTCCTCCAGTGTATCATTAGCGTTGAGTCAACTTCGTAGTAGAATCATCCACCGTCATTCGCCTTTAAAAAGCACGCATAGGGAGGGTTATTCTTAAGAAGAAATCTGTCTGGAGAAAGGCTGCTGTGCAAAATTTTCTTTACACATTCTGTTTTTTTGTTTACTGATTTAAAATGCTGTGTTTCCTAGGAGAATAAGAGGATCACTGAAGATCTGCTCTAAATCCATCATTTTTGAGCCAGAACCAGCCGCTGAACCGATTTTAAAGGTATGTAGCAGGGAGTGTAAGATGATGAATCACTTAATTGTTCATATATTTGATTTATTAACCAAAACGCCTGATTCCCCAGATACCGCTTAGAGACTGCAAATTAATTGAAGGAGTTGAAGAGAATGACCAAAACCCTTTTAATGAGTAAGTGCCTTATGGAGACTATGGGTTTAGAAACGGACTAAGGAAGTGGACTTAAGGTGTACATTATAAGCCAACATTTATATGCAACAATCAAATATAGCCTTAGTGTGTAAAACTGTCATATGTATTTGGAAAATACAGAAAATAAAGGTTCTAGCGTTTATTATTCACGTTTCAATTTATTATTGTTATTATTATTATTTATTGAACTCTTTTTTTTTTTTTGTTTGTTTTCTTTCCTCTCAGAAGCAAGCTGGTCGGACTCTCCATTGCTTGCAAACAGGTATGTCGACTGTAAACCCAGCTCATTTGAAAACCTTTTGGCTATCTTTTCTGCCTCTAGAGGGCCTGACTCTAGCCTTTTCCTCTTTTTTTTTATATTGTTAAGCTATAGCAGTGCTTAGTTCCCTAGCTTGCTGGTTTTGCGTCAGTGGCTGTGCAGTTTGTACGACAAGATGCTTATGTCACTTGTAGTGATGGCCGAATGAAGCCTCATGAACCAATTGCTGTATTTTCTGACCCCATTAGATGGTGCTCTTTGGTCAAAGCATGCCCCAAAGAGAACCAAGAGTGCCATCTAGTGGGGTCAAAAAATATAGCACATTGTTCAGGAAGCTTCATTTAGCCATCACTAGCTAACTGGGTAATTCAGTGTCCTTGTTTTTTAAGGTGTTTCTCATTAAGGAGAGCAACATTGTTGCCCCCTACAGGATTGAGCGGGTAAGAACAGTCTCTCTCTAATCCTTATTGGCAAACACTGTGCACATCATAATAATGTCTGATTCCCTTAAAATACGTGGATAAAACCAGTATTGTTATGTTACCAAATTCAACATTATTGCCAATCGTGCTTTAGTAAGTATTCTTGATTTGGTGCAGCTAAAGGACTTACCTTAATTCCCCTGAAAAATCTTTCAATAAATATTATTTGTTATTTCTTACCCATATTGTATAAGTGTTACTCGTATTAATTATATCTTGTGTTACCATTTTGTTGAGCTGATTTTCCCACCAAACTTAGGGGGACCAGAGATTCTTCTTTCAACTCGATCTGTCGAGGAAAACAGAGGATGTCATCCAAACGTTGCTCCAGGTACGTGATTTCCATAGCGAATATAGTGTGCCTAGACTGCATGGAGGTGGAGTTCCTGAGAGCTGAGGCACCCCCTTGTGGTGGCCTGTTGAATACTATCCCTCCCCCCAAAAGTTACTTGTTCCCACCTCGTGATACCTTGGGATAGCCGTCAGGGCTCTACACACTTTCACTAGTGAGGTGTATTTCTGTGGTGTTACAGCTACACAGAGCATCGTGCCTCAACAAACTTGGAGACCAGACCGCCATGGTGAGTTACCTTGACAACGTCTATGACCACTAAATGGCTAACAAATGGCTGAAAGTTCTTGTGAGGTAGAAATTTCACAGGAATCCATTTGGGTCATATCCTGGGTAGCTCCACCATATAATCATTATTTAATTTAACGACACGTTATTTTTTTGTATGATAAAGCGATTTATGTTGTATTTATTGTTCCAGATCGCTGCCAATCTGCAGTCTCGGCTAGCACGCACATCATTTGATAAGAACAGGTATGAATCAACACTGTATGTTTATGGTCCATAGGTCAGTTGGTCTTAAGGTTCAACATAGGGTGGATCTCAATGTGCATAGTTGACCATACTTGTGTTTTGTGTGCCCGTTTTACGTCATCTTTCATTGCTGAAGACCAGTTCCAATACTAACAACACAAGTACAGAAGACAGTAAAAATCCCCAGATGTTGGTCTTTGCTCTGCCCCAAATATCAAGGATACATCGGTTGCTTCCTCACTGAACGAGACCAATCCCATGATTCATTGCAACCCAAGTTTGTTCTTGGAAGGGCAGTTCGCAAGATTGGTCTTGCCAAGACCACAAATATGATCTTTGTGTTCTTGGTATTGAGAAACACCCGTAGTTTTTTGGGATAAGACTGCAGAGGCCCTTTTGTGCCTCACGTTTTCATTACTTTCTGAAAAAACCCACTGAGGTAGCTGTAAATCAGAATGATTGAAACAGCTGTTTATGGTGCTTATTTTGAAAGGAATCATTTAGCTGTAATAGCAGAAGCCTCAGTAGCAAGCAAATAACTGAAAGGACCGTAAAAGTTTTAAAATAAAATAGCGTACAGTCAGCTTAAGGTGATTTTGGCATTCTTTTGTTTGTCTGTGTCTTTCCTTTATATCTGTAGAAAGAAAAGTCACAAAAAACCAGGAAGCGCTAAAAACAATGCTAGCAAAGTAAATTAGCATTCAGATGAAATTGTGCATGGTTTCCCCAGCGGATGGACATTTGTCCAGTTGGGGTTCCATGTGATAATGTTTAATGTTTTGAGGCAGCTAGCAATGTCAGGTTTGCTTGACGACCTGTCTCTTCATGCCCCATGTTTTTCGTAGCTTCCAGAGTGTCTCAGAAAAACCTCATATGGAATGCGAGGCTGAGATGGTAACGCCGCTGGTCACCAATCCAGGACACGTATGCATCACAGACCAGAACCTCTACTTTCAGCCTCTCAATGGCTACCCGGTAAGCCCTCTAACCCCCCCACCATCATATTCCAGAACATGTTGCTAATAATAGAAGGAAAAAAATCTGCTTACCTTCAAATACCCGGGTATCTTGACAATCAACATCAATGAACTTTAATGAAATGAACGGGAAACAGTCATTTTGCATTTTCACTTTTTATTCTGACCTTCTTTATGTCTAAATACGGAGGCTGCGGCATATCTCAAAAATCTGTCCAGTCCTTGTCAAATTTAACACCAAAGTTTGAGAATGTCTGACTTTGGGGCATCTAACATTTTACTGGAGCTCAGGCGGAAGTTCAATGATGTTGAGTCCCAGTACATGTTTATACATCTCGGTACAAAGTTTATATTATGTCTCCATTTTGGCCAGTCAAAATTTTTCTCTGGGTTTAACAGATCTATGAAATGTGGTCAGGATGTCAGTGGTCGTTAACACCATGCTTGGAATAATATCCCCAAGAATAACATCCTTACGCATTCACCATACGTATAACTATTAGAAAGGTGATCAGTCATCGCTTATTGCTGTCTGTCCAGCATATATAGTGAGAGAGCTGACAGTCCACCACAGACCCCTGTAAGACTCCGTGCATGATTGCTGGATATTTCAAGACTTTATCTCCTTCTGGCAAATCGGTAACGATCTGACAGAAGAGCCATCAATCAAGATGCCAGCTGTCCACTGACACTAGTCTGTCCAAGAGAAAACGGAGGCTGTTCAGTTTAGCTTATTACCCCAATGCAGGCTGAAACGTGGCCAGACGCTGCTGGATTATGATAAGCCAGACAACTGGTGAGCAACAGATATTGTAGGTGAAGATGAAGGTTTGGGAAAAGCCAATTAGAATTAGGGATAGAACAGATAGACATATGTTATGTAAATTCAGATCAGGCTTCTTGAATAAAGTCTTAATTATAGTTGTCTTAAGAGCCTTGAGAAAAAATTCAGAACTCTGGCGTGCATTTTTAAATTACACACAGAAGCTCCTTAATTACATTGGTGGTTAGTGGATCCAGAAACCCGACAAACAGTTTGAAATTAAGGTACCCAGCTGGTTCAGTGGAAGAAGAGCATATGACTCACAATCTGTAGCATGTGTGGAATCCACATTAGCAGCTGACGCGTCACAAACATTCGGGTTGCTGCCAGACCCTGGCGACATACCTTGGAAATTGTATAAAATTTTAATTTTTGTAGTATCTGTGTTGAATATTTGCTGTGGGATTCCAAGATCAGAAACTTCCTTAAGGAAATCTAGATTGTGTTAGCCTAGCTGTAGCTAGGACATGGTGTTGCTCCAGAAAAGATGAAATGCACTGAGTACCTTCGCAGTTCCTTCTGCGGGTATCCCAGTATGCTCACTGCACCAAAAGGCACACTTCTTAAGCTTAACATTATACAATTCCTTGGTGAGACCTCACCTAGAATATTGTGTGCAGGTTTGGTCACCATATCTTAAAAAGGACATTGCGGCCTTAGAAAAGGTGCAGCGTAGGGCCACAAGAATGATTCCTGGTCTTAGAGGAATGTCATACGAGGAAAGGTTAGTTGAGCTAAATCTGTTCAGCCTCAAGCAAAGGAGACTGAGGGGGGACATGATCCAGGTCTATAAGATTCTAACAGGTTTGGATGCTGTTCAACCGAATAGTTACTTCAGCATTAGTTCAAATACAAGAACTCGTGGCCATAGGTGGAAATTAGCGGGAGAACATTTCAAACTGGATTTAAGGAAGCACTTCTTTACACAGTGTGTAGTCAGTGTATGGAATAGTCTTCCTGACAATATAGTGCAAGCTGAATCTTTGGGTTCCTTTAAATCAGAGCTAGATAAGATTTTAACAACTCTGAGCTATTAGTTAAGTTCTCCCCAAGCGAGCTCGATGGGCCGAATGGCCTCCTCTCGTTCTTATGTTCCTATTGTTATATAATTTTTTTTTATTTTTAATGGTGATACAGTACTTGGATTTTGTGTAATTACATTTTTTTTACTTGTGTTTTTGGGAGGTATAGTGTTGCCTTGGGGTGTGGGTTCGAATCCCACCTGCTCTTTCTGCATGTCCTCCCTGTGTTATCCGCTGGTTCTCTGGCTTCATCCTGCTGCCTAAAGACATGCACTTTGCCTAATTGGTATAAAAATCACGCTTGGCACCCAATTAATTTCCACAAGAGCTGTTGACATTGAATATTACTATTTTTATGCCTCGTGCTAAGAATAATGTAGCTCAGTGTGATAGGGAACTGTGCCTGTGATCAGGAGGTCACTGGTTCAAATCCCAGCGTGTGAGTGATTTCAGCATTGGGCTCTGGAGTGAGACCCCTAATCTCCAATTGCTCCACGGATTGTCTGAGCCTGCATTCCTAATTGTGTATCACTTTGAATAAAAAGGTGTGCTAAGAAAATAAAGCATAAATATATGCCTACATACTCCCTGCTTCTGTGTACATGGTTTTTCTAAGAGATAAACGCAATAACACATCAATTCACAAGAGTTGGTGTTCGATTTATTTGCCCTTGTGCACCGCGGCGCACGGTGGACGTGTCTCCCTGACCTCACTGCTGTGTTCCCCTTTAAATACAGGAGCAGGTGGTGAAAATCATGCTTCACAGTGTCAGGAGGATCTACAAGCGACGGCATGGCCTGAGACCCCTGGTGAGTCAGGCCACTAAGCTCTCAGTCAAGCACCTGCACAGAATAAGCCGATTCCTGCTACAGTGTTTACCACCTCTCAAACTATGATGCCCCCTGCTGGCAACAAACAGTAAATGCACTAAACATTAAATAAACACGTTCCTTATCCTTACTTATTTAATTTTTTTAATTTCTGGCGGTGGGGGGGGGGGTGAATTTTTGAGTGGGGCCCCGGAAAAAACAAACTCATTCCTGCCTTACATGTACAGAGGACCTTTCATGTGAAAACTGTAAGACTGAGAATAAGACGTTTACATTGCTCCTCTACTTACGAATGAGATACGTTACGAACGACTGTGATGTTCGTAAGTCGTTATCCAACATCATTTTAAGAGTATACACAAGTACAATGAACTGGGATGCTGGGAGTTTGCACGCTACGCTGCTGCGCGGTGGGAGTAGGGGCCAGAAGTCGTACTAGGCGGAATTGGTGCGCAGAAAAAATTTTTTTATGTTGCAGACAGGAAACGAGAGCCCAATTAACACAATATGGACTTACAGTTGTTCGTATGTCTGAAAGTTCGTAAGTAGAGGAGCATCTGTACTTGTATAGTTAGTTGCGGCTACATTCAATTTCAGAGTCTCACTGTTATTCTTTCCAATAGGGACTTGAAGTGTTCTGCTCTGAAAATGACCTCTGCTCAGACATCTACTTGAAGGTTTACAACACCAAGGACAGGGATGAACTCTACTACTACATCGCTACCTTCTTGGGTCTGTTTGCAAAGTTCTTTTTTATAGCCTTTTGACGTTTGCTTTTTAGGGACAACACAAAAAGGATTTCCCTAGCCATGCTAGAAACTGTTTTTTAAATGTTTGCTTGCAGTTTAAGGTTACTGGCTCCCAATCCTTATCCTTGAGGCTTTCAGCGAATGCCAACTTTCCAGACTTAGCGGTGAAGGATCAATAACGTCATATGTAGTTTAGATTCACAAATATCACTACCCTGGCCTTTGAAGACCAGGAGTAGTTCGGGGCACTTATTCCTGGTGAACAGAAGGTTGCCAGTTCAAATCCCAGCATCCACAGAGCAGTGGCGGAGCTAGAGGGCTAGTTGGGGTGGCAATTGCCACCCCAGACGAAGTCCTTGCCACCCCGCTGAAAACATTACACTGTTTGATTTTTACGAACATTTCTCAAATCTCCCAGCGAACGCACAAGCGTGCAGCGTGCTGTTGCTGCTACACTTTTCATTGGTTAAGCTGACACGCAGGTATTTCGTGCTCCAAACGGCTCCAAAACATCGCGGCAGCACACGCGGGATCGATGTAGAGCGTTTTTGCTGGTATGTACGGCTTTTATTGGTATTAAATTAAACGAAGTACTGTTTTAACGGGAAGTAAGGGAGACATTGCACTGTAGTGCTTAGCATTAATTAGAGCTGGGCGATTTTTAAATTAAAAACTCGATTTACGATTCGAATCGATTTTTTTTTGTCTGTTACGATAGTCGCTGTGTCAGATTACACGATTTTGACTCCTAAAAATTTTGTCACGTCGTGGACAAGAAACATGTCAGACTACACGTTGTTTTCCGACCAGTCATCGCGAGCTGTCTCACACACTCTTTCACTCGCACATACACAAGCTCACTCATATAGCCTACACACACACACTCGCACATACACTCTCATACATACATACTGTTCTATTATTATTCTTGTGGTACATATTTGAATGTGTACAACTGCCTTGTCCTGCCTTGTTTTGACAGGTCCAAGTTTACCTCAGTTTTTGTTTACTACTGGACTTGATTAGTCCAAGGAGCACTTTGAATACTTATTCTATTTTTGCTGTATACTTAATACATATATAATTGTGTACATTTTGGAAAATAAAAACTTTAATTAATCTGTATACATTTTGTGGAAAATAATTTATTTTTAGTGTAATTGAACACTTTGTATATTGACCCCCCAAAATAATACCTTGCCACCCCTTTGCCACCCCTGTTTTAAAAGTCTAGCTCCGCCACTGCCACAGAGTGATTTTTATTTTTGAGTGGTTCAGGAAGGCCCTTAACCTCGAATTGCTTTAAAAAAAAAAAAAGTATGTTACTTTGGATGACAGCATGTGCTAAATAAACAAATTATAATGGGCTTGATACTTGCTGGAATTCTAACAGAAGTTTCCCACTTTATAGAAGCATACTTTTAGAGTATTATTTTATAAAATGGCTATAATATCCCTGGACTGTCATTACACCAGAGAACCACATGGTGGAGCAGACGGCTGAGAGCTACATGCTGCAGTGGCAAAGGGGCCACATCAGTAACTACCAATACCTGCTGCACCTGAACAACCTGGCAGACCGCAGCTGCAACGACCTGTCGCAGTACCCCGTCTTCCCCTGGGTCATCGCCGATTACACCAGTACTGAGTTAGGTGGGTATTGGCTCTGGGAGAGAGGTTCAGCCACACTGCTGTCTTAGCATTGAGGGTGGTAGACCACCTTGTATGTCTGTGTCACATGGTCATCACCCCCTTTCTGTCTCTCTCTCTCTCTCTCTCTCCCCCTCTCCTCCAAGACTTGAGGAATCCAGCAAGTTTCCGGGACCTGAGCAAGCCAGTGGGGGCTCTGAACAAAGAGCGTCTGGAGCGGCTTCTGGTGAGCGCCCCCTGCTGTCTGTTTGAGATAGGAGGTCTTGGACTCATGCATGTTTATGAGTTGAATGACCAGTCAGTGACTCGTGAAAATAATGAGGCACAATTCATAGCATAGTTGAATAAGATTTTATGGGTAACTATTTCATTTGCTTTTAAAACGTCATTTTAACGACTACGTTTCGTATGCTGCCAATTAGCATTATCTCTAATGGGGTCCTTATTTATAATCAGGTACTGCCAGGTAAATATTGCAAATTGACTGATTAGGGTCGGAACGATTTATTTTTCTACCAAATGGAGACACGAAAACTTCCCGTCCTTATTTTTAACCGAGTTTGAGATATGGCTATTGGCGACCCCCCCTGACCTGATGACTAGGGGCCTCACTTTCAGTTCCCAGGTTTTGCTGTGTAAATTCTGAAATGCTTTATTTTGGTACTTAGTACGGTGGGATTTTTTTGTAGGCTACGATGAGAAAATTGAGGGTGAAATTGACCAGTATTATGGGTCAAACTGTCGAAATCGTGACATTAATTTTAGTTTTTGAAAGAAACGGCAACAAAGCATAGGTTGGCAAAAAGCGTAAAAAAAACTCTTAATTTTTGTGAAAATAATGTTATGTAACATTCCTGGACAGAGAAATAATAAGCTGAATCTGAATCATTTCGGGCTGGTGTTTACGCTCTCCTTCAGGCAGTGCTGGTACCTGTTATAATGAGAAAAGTGTCACATGATCCACGGCCCCTTTGTCCCCAGGCTCGTTACCGGGACATGCCGGACCCCAAGTTCATGTACGGCAGCCACTACTCCTCTCCGGGCTACGTGCTCTTCTACCTAGTCCGAGTGGGTATGTGCATGGACATTCCGGAACATTCCTCTCTGCAGCAATCAGAATACGGTCTCAATATGGTTGGAGATGTGGTTCCTCCATACCTGTGGCTCATTTTAATTCTCAGTCTTCTTGTTTTGTCCATAGCTCCGGAGTACATGCTGTGTTTACAGAATGGCCGATACGACCACGCCGACCGCATGTTCAACAGGTAACGCCACGTGGATCGCGGTTCATCCCCTTCAGTCTTTAGTCACCCCCCGAAATACAGTTTTCATTCGTGATTTTACACCAGCAAGTTCTATGTTCAAGTCCCATGAATAGATGTAAATACAATCTAATAGCAAATTTCCAAAACTCGCTCAGCTCACAGGATACATTTTCAGGAATATTTTTGCAGACTTAGTGAGTTTTGGAAAAGTACCGAAAGTTCTTTGGATTACGTGAGGACTGAGTGAGATGTGGCTCCCCATTCTGTAGCATATGATGAGGAAGCCTGACTTTAGGCAAATGGGACTTTGCTCTTCAGTTGCTAATCCCCTGGCAACTGAGAAAACTCAGATTTGGCCCTCCGCAGAAAATGACTGCCCAGGCCTGGATTACACTGATTTCGTTAGCGTGTTTTCTCTTGTAACCTTCTGCGTTTCTGACTGATGGCATTATCATCGTTTTTCCTCAATAGCATATCGGAAACTTGGAAAAACTGCTTAGAGGGTGCCACTGACTTCAAGGAGGTATGACATTGGTGCATTTTTACTGTGAAGATGCTCATTGGTTGGTATTGTGTCCTGCTTTGAAGTCTTTGTGCCGTTATGGGGCCCCTCCCACAGCCCAGGAGGCGCTATTAGCGTAATTTGGCTATAGCCCTATGCCCTTCAGTCAGTACCGTCAGCCGCCCCTCCCTGCCGCTAATGTAACTCCAACCATGATGAATTCCCACCCCTCCCAGTTAATCCCAGAATTCTATGGGAATGACGCCAGCTTCCTGGAGAACAACCTGAACCTCGATCTAGGGAAGCGACAGGGAGGGAGGATGGTGGGGGATGTGAGCATGCCCCCCTGGGCCTCAGGTGAGATGGGCAGACAGGTAGACTTGCGCCACGTTATGCTTCTGTTTGCCAGTCCTAGAAATAACTGCCTTTGAGTCCTTGGAGCAGGGGTGGGGAACCTGATCCATGGAGGGCCGGTGCGGGTTTTTGGGATGGCCTCTCAATCAGCCAATAACAGAAGGTCCCCAGGACTGGATTTGAGAACCACTGCTTTATTATTGGCTGATTGAGAGACCATCCCAAAAACCCGCACCCACACCGGCCCTCCATGGATCAGGTTCCCCACCCCTGCCTTGGAGTGATGCTGCTCTCTCACGCCCCCTAGTGGATGAGCTTAATTGCTTATTATAGAGACAAACAGGCCATTAAACCTAAAATGAAAAGTAATGCCCTTGTATGTGTGTGTTGGGATGTTCTGCCAGACACCAGAGACTTCCTCCAGAAATGCCAGCAGGCCCTGGAGAGCCAGTACGTCTCGGAGCACCTGCACGAGTGGATCGACCTGATCTTTGGCTACAAGCAGAGGGGGAGCGAGGCTATAGGCGCCCACAATGGTACGGGGACGGGAAGGGAGGGGGGTCCTCTGACAGGAGCCACCCTGGGGGTGGTGGATTTATGAGCCGCTGAAAAGTGTCGCAGAACACTGCCCAGATACAACTCGATATGTCTCAGTATTAAACTTTTGAGAGATTATCTGGGGAAAAAGTGAGCAAACAGTGGAAAGGAGGAAAAATATTCATTGCACAAGGAAGTCAATCAGTGTGGCTCAGCAGCTTAGGACTTTCTGCCTGGGATCAGAAGGTCAGCAGTTAAAATCCCAAAGATTTGTTCGTTGGGCCCTTGAGCAAGGCTCTTAACCTCTGGTTGCACCAGGCGCTGTCTGATGCTCTTATTTAAAAAATGTGCATAGCTTTGTATAAAAGTGCCTGCCGCATAGGTGTAACGTGATGTAACCGAAATATGCTGAGGGTTTGTTTCATTTAGACCAGGGGTGGCCAATCTTATCCACAAAGGGCCGGTGTGTATGCAGGTTCTTGGGATAACCTGTAGGTCAGCTGTTCAAACCCAGGTGTGAGGACTCTTCAGCCAATCAGTCCTTTAATTAGTGACCTAATTAGGGAGTTCCAGCGAAAACCTGCATACTCAGCGGCCCTTTGCGGATAAGATTGGCCACCCCTGATTTAGACAGTAACTGTCAGGATAACCTGATCGTTAGCTTTAGCTTAGTGATTTATGTGACCAGGTAGTCGGGTCGTTAGGCACATAGCCTGAAGATCACCAGCAGAGTACTTTTACCTTAATTTCTCCTGTGAAATACCCACCTCTACAAATGACTAAACCTGTAAGGTGATTCAGAGAGAAGTGAAGTTCACCCTACTAACCTTAACCTTACTAGCTGCAGTGACAAAGGACTGTGAAATCGGAGGTAACCCTGGGTTCAGATGGTAATGAAATAACACTCTTTCTTTTTCAGTCTTTCATCCATTGACATATGAAGGAGGGATCGACTGTGACAGGTAATGGGGCGGATGAGTGCAGGCTGCCTGCGTCGTCATGGACACAGTGTGCAGACAACTTCCTGTCTCTTACTTCCTGTCTCTTACTTCCTGTCTCTTACTTCCTGTCTCTCACTTCCTGTCCTCTACAGTATCGAGGACCCTGATCAGAAGATCGCCATGCTGACGCAGATACTGGAGTTCGGACAGACCCCCAAGCAGCTGTTCACCACCCCCCACCCCCAGAGGATCATGCCCAGATTCCAGAGCATGTCTCGCACCCCCAGCCAGAACGCTTCCCTCAGTGAGCTTTCACCAGGTATGGAGGTAGCTGACAATGTTCACTCAACAGGCTCTCTTTAGGAACAGAGGAGGATCTGTCCTCTAGTGCAGTGTCCACGCAGTGAGCTACTGTAACTCTAGGTATGGAGGTTCAGCATTACCAAGGATGTTATTGAGGATGAATGGGTGTTTTGTCATTGCCCATGCTGTGTTCAAGGGTATCCTGCTTAATTATGTTGAATGCCTTCCACAGTCTAGTGTGACAGCTCCATATGTTTACTGATAAAGATCAGGTGCAGGAGCGGCGAAGTTCAGCTTTCAGCCTCTTGGTGGCACTGTTTGGCCAGTTCTGCTGCGGCACACAAAAGCAGGACTTCATTGTGTATTTAGTAGATACTTTGCTCTGAAGTGGTGTGCAAGTGAGGAATGCCTGGGATCAGAGCAGGGTCAGCGAACACCCAGCAGCCCTGGAGTAGTTAGTGTTAAGGGCCTTGCTCAAGGGCCCGACCGTGTTGTGATTACTGGAGAAATATCCAAGAGTGCATCTGTTTCTCTGCACTTGATCCTCTAGCCTCCATCAGCGAGGACTCGTCTTTTGAAGACCTGACAGAAGAGAGCAGGAAGATGGCGTGGAACCACATGAGCAAGCTGAAGATGGTGGCCGACCACAAGATTCACAAAGAGTGAGGGAACTATTCTGGTTATTATGGTTCTGCCTGTGTGTTCAGGTAAAATCCTTTCTAGGCGTTCAGGCATCTGCATGCTGCCAAACGTAGCCCTCAAACCCTCAGCTGTGATTCGGTCCTATAGAGAGGAGTTGCATTTACCCTAATTTTAAATGCTGTCTCCTTCCTTAAATCGCAGGGCCATAACGGGCATCGCAGTAACTCGTGCAGGACTCTCCGTTTTCACGTCGTCTCAAGGTGCGATGGATCTCTTGTAACGTCAACACCATGCTGGTATCGCGGGATGTCATGTGGAGTATCTCACTTGTTCTGTTTACAGACTCGACGTTGAAGATGTTCTCCAAGGACTCCAGCAGCTTACAGAGAAGCATCTCCTTCTCCAACATGGTAAATCAGCCAGACATCCATCTACAGCCAGCATGTCACTAGCTTTTCCGCCTAAATGAACTATAAGTATCTTTCTTTGATCTGTTCTGCTGGTGACTTCTCTGCAGTACTTAGATTGGTGCTATTGTTTATTTCTTTTTACTGCACAAGAATTATTATTATTACTATTATTATTATTATTATTATTTATTGATTTATTTAATTTATGTTGTCTTATTACCTTAAGATTCTGTTTTTCAGAATATTCTGTGTACTTTGTACTTCTTTGAGTTTGTTTGCACGGTATATGCATATATACTGTCGTTGCCTGTGCTCTACGTAAATTGAGGAGCAAATTTCCAAAACGCATTCAATGAGTTGGTGAGTTTTGAAACGTGAGGACTGAGTTTTAGTTCCAGTCATGGCTGAATTTTTCATTGACTCATGTCTCATCTCAAAAACAACAAAAAGACGTGGGCTTTTTTTAGAAATTTGAGTTTTAGAAATTTGCTCTTCAATTGTTGCTCTATGGAAAAGAATATACCATTGGCATCAATAAAGCTATCTTATATTATCTTGTCTTGTCTTATATCTGATCTTGTCCTGCCCTATCCTATCCTGCCCTATCCTGTCCTGTCTTGTCTTGTCCTGTCCTATCCCATCCTGTCCTGTCCTGTCCTGTCCTATCCTGTCCTGTCCTGTCCAATCCTTTCCAGTCCCATCCAGTCCCGTCCTGTCCTTCCCTGTCCTGACTTGTCCTGATGGTGACACATTCTCTCTTCTAAGGCACTGTCATCCTGCCTCATCCTCCCAGAAGATGCGACAGTGGTGTGCTCATCCTGGGACAACAACGTGTACGTGCCGTGCTCAGAACTGCGTAATGTAGCAGGCCCAACAATATGGCCGCCTCAGTAATCGTGTTCTTACAGAGCCGTTTTCCACTGCAACCCCCCCCCCCCCAGCTATTTCTACTCGATAGCTTATGGGCGACGGCAGGACACCATCATGGGCCATGACGATGCCGTGAGCAAAGTGTGCTGGAAGGAGAACCGGCTCTACACAGCGTCCTGGGACTCTACTGTGAAGGCAAGTGATGTCATCATCGTCCAATCCAGCCCCAGGGCATCATGCAGACCAGTGTTATTATAGTGTTAATTTTTTAATTTAATTTCCATTTTTACATCATTTTCCATTTTCAATTGAAATCCAGTTTAGTTTCAGTTAAAGTGTGGGGTTATTCGTTTTTTTTTTTGTTTTTTTTTTAAAGATATGGTTCAGTTTAAATACAGTGTAGTTTAAGTTTTTTTTTTTTTTTTTTTAAGGATAGATTGAAGGTTGTACGAATACTTTGTCGGTTTTTTAGAGAATGCAGCATGAACTCACAGTGCACATTACTTGCTTATGTCCTCAAAATGGGCAAGACATGTTCCAGGTGTTAGTGGTAATTAAAAGAAATCCTTACTTTAGCTAAATATTAGTTAAGTATTGAAAAACCTGTGACAGAAAATATTTGCTTGTTTTTATTTTATTTCAGTTTGTTTTGGGAGAGCCATTTATAGTTTTTATTTTGTTGTAGTATATTATTTAGTTTCAGTTTAGAAAATGTTTGCTTTTAGTTTTAATTCTAGCTTTCTTTAACGATAATAATGCTGAGACTCAACAGAGACTTTCAATTGCCTCCCAACTTGGCTGATGATGAATGAACTGTACAGATGTGATCCTGGTCACATATAACGAGTCTCAGATGTGTAGCGTTTCTCTAATGTCAAGCTGGATGAAAGCTCAAACTGAATTAGATCCAGTGGGAGAATCATTATAAGATTTTCTAATTTTTTTTAGTGCATCTTCATAAATGTGAAATTAATTACATTTTATGTGCCGCTTATCGCAATGTTCATTAACCATCCATACGTCATTCAGTTGCTCATCCCAGTAAGGATTGTGGATACACTGATTTCCAAAACAGGAAATTCCCTGGGGCGAATCAGATTGTAAATTCCCTTCCGGGATAGAAGCCGATGAGCAGGAAGTGATGTCACGTTGTGTGGTGTTGCAGGTGTGGCGCTGCATCGCCGCCGAGGTATCGAGCAGCAGGAGGGGCCCCTTCGAGTTGCTGGCGGAGCTGGAGCATGACGCAGGGGTGAGTGTCTGGAGGAAGGTCTTTGATAATCAGGACACCAGACTGGGGGTGAGACTCAGCTGTGTGCCCAGTGCATGCTGGGACATGCCTCGTCTGAGCCCATTTGGACGGAGTCCTTCGATGATCGGCTCGGGGTGCGGCCCTGCTCTGTACAAGCCATGACTCAACATCACTTTGAAAATGGTGCAATCTGTGAGTTACGTAACAATTCATGATTCAAGAGTCTATTGTCATATGGACAATAAACAGTCAGTTTCAATACGCAATGGAAATCTTACTCTGCATGTCTATTCAGCCACCGGTTAATAAAACACAGATTACAAATGTGAATTATGCTGCTTACAGTAAGCAAATAAAATATGATTACAATTATTACAATAAACACGCCGACACAGTGGAATGTAACATGTAGTGCAAAGGAAACATATTTTTTACAATGCAGTTCAGACTTAAAGGTAAAGTTGGATGCACTCTAACACAGTGGTCTCCAATGTTTGCTTTTTCTGTTCAATGAGAGCTTTTACATTTTCAAAGAAAATAGCCTGGGGAAACTCCCTACCGAGATTTTGCCAATCTGCTGTCAGCGGCTGGTCTTCCTTGATATATCTTGTTGACCAGCCATGAAGGTGATGGTCTGATTTTTCCCCTGGACTAGGAATGTGTTGAAAGTCAATGCATTGATTACGATTGACTGGTTGGTGGCCACCTGCTTCTGGGGTCAGAAGACCCTTTGTGACTATATGGAAATTCCTCGGCTTGTGAACGAGTCTCGTACAGATCGTTTCCGGATGTTGTTCAACTGCTCTTCTCTGTCCACAAGGTAAACACAATTAGCCTCAATCAAGCGGGAACGTTATTGGCCTCCGGTACGAAGGAGGGGGCAATCAGCATATGGGACACCTCAAACTCCTCGCTGGTGCATCAGATCCAGTGCCACTCTGGAAAGATCCATGACATCGCATTCAGTCCTGGTATGATTCCCTTCTGCGCTGTAGTTCATTTGCATCTGGCTGGATTACATGTATGTTGTACTTTCTGGAAAGGACAGAGTTATATGGAAAGGACAGAGTTTCTGGAAAGGACAGAGTTATCTGGAAAGGACAGAGTTATCTGGAAAGGACAGAGTTAATGTATTGCCTTGGGTTGGAAATAATGAGAACATTTGCAGTGTAGATCGAAGGAGGTGTTTAGGCTGTGATTCATCACGTCTGTGGTTTACTTGCTGAGAACCATGCCTTTTTATTAGATAAAAGTCTGTGATTCAAATCTAGTAATACATCTAGTAATATTTTGGCCATTTTGTCATCTCTATTGGGGATTTTTTTGTTATCCAAGCACATTTCTTTTTTAAGTGGATGTTGCCTAAAATGGGCTCTGTTGGTTATTTCCCAAGCTTCCAACTCACTACATTTCTTCCTAATTCTAAAGCTAATTTTAAAGTTGACAGTGTGTAGCTGTGTGGGTTAGGAAGCCTGTGCTGTAATCAGATGGTCACCAGTTCAGATCGTATGGTTGGCAGAGTGATGTCACCATTGGCCCCCCCAGGCCCCAGCTGCTCCATGGACTGGCTGACTGCTTTCCCACTCGATTGTTGCTTTGGATAAAAGCATCTGATTATTATTATTTTTTTAAAAATGGTGGCGACACATTCAGTTTTGTCCTTGGCGTGCTCGTTTCTGGAACGGAAACGTGAGGTTTCTAGAATCTTCTATGAATTGTGGCTGACCTGCGGCTCCCCGCGGCCCTGCAGACAGCAGACACGTGCTGAGTTCGGGTGAGGACTGCTCCCTGAAGGTCGTGGACGTGCAGACCGGCATGCTTCTCTCGTCCGTGGCTGCAGATGAACCTCAGAGGTAA